TCCCACAACTTTTATGTTTTGCTATATCTGCTGAGTAGATTGTATTGAAGGTACATGTATCTGTAGCATTCACTTTAATATTACACATTTTTATTTACTTGTTCTATCCATTTTTCTTCAAAAGTGTCAAAATTCGTGCTCAAATACTTACTAAATCATGTATATTAAGACTGCTTTTGGTACATTTCCAATAAACCTTGTGTATCATTTACTATACCTTTGTGATTTATATTTTTTATATTTTAAATGTACTTTACTCTATAGGTGACATGTTTTAACTTATGTACTAATGCATCCCCTCGTTGATTTAAAAAAAAGCTACAGTTTTACAAATTATAAACTTCATTTTTTGAAACATTTTTGAAGTTCAGACATCTTGGTTTCAATTTTCTCAATACAGTATTTAGTCTCTTTTTCATCTAAATTATAACTCATAAAAAATTCAAGACACAGTGACATGAGTTTTAAGATTTCTAAAAACATGTTCTAATAATAAAGACTCCTATTTTAGCATAACACGCAGGGGATGTAAGCCTATAAGCACTGGAAGTTAAATGCCAAAATTCTTACAACTGAGTGCACTCTTAGACTAACATTGTATATGTAATAGCTCAACATGGTTCCCGAGCTGAGGTTATGTTTATAAACATTGGTTTGTAACATGAGGCCAAGAGGGTATCATGTTTGTCAAAGACTGCAGTGTTAGGATAGGAGTAATATAAGTTTCCCCTTGTGGCACTTCAGCACCCTTTTCTAGAGATATTTACTCTGCTTCATACTCCAATACTCTCCCCAGCATAGGATTTTGAAAGTAGTGGAGCACCCACTTGGTAATCTATTTGCAGACACTAGAAAATATTAATTTTTCTAGATACAGTTTATATGTTTGAATAATAATCATTGGCTGAATCATCTCTTGATAAGCAAAACCTTCAAATGACTGATCTAAGCCAGAGTGTAATAATACACCATTTGGCTCAGGGTAGTACTTTATGAACTGTTCATCAGCTTTCTGCAATCTTGGAAGTCTTGCTGCACACTTTCCAACTTTTGCTTGAAGCTATGTGTTTTTATTATACTGGGAGTCAACATATCATTTCCATCCCAAGGGCTTTTCTGCTGTTATACTGTGAACAGAATACTTTAATCACTGGTTCATATATATATATTTTCACTCATGTAAGTATTTGTTTTACCCTTTTCAGAGGTGATTTTACATTTTTATGAAAGACCTTCTTTTACTATACCTCGGGATATGTATATGTGTGAGGGTCCATGTTACATAAGGACTTGATGTGAGACTGGTAGATTATAATATGTGACATTTACTTTAACTGTTCATTCATAATTAAAGTGTTCTCCCCAGGATTTTGAAATTCTAATTTGACAAATTGTACTGTACTGCCAATTTTTCATGATTTTCTAAGTATTCATCTGGATGCAAATGGATTTTCAGCTTGGTAAAAGGTGATTTTTCAATTCCCAACTCTGAAGAGCACCAGATCTCATTAGTTTGCTTAAATGCTGGGTAAATTGTGTTAAGTCATCCTTGGTCTAAGGGTATTTCAATTGTTTCTATGGCTGCTATAGCAGTGAAGCCTGCTCTTGAGGGATGGGTTAGATTGATTTGTGCATTGTCTCCATTGGTACTCACATGAGACAATCAGGACTTTGCACAGCTTATGTGTGGCTAAGTCCTGATAAGTTCATGTTTTAATTAGTACAAGGATTTAACATCATATATCATACACTCTATTCATTGATTAAATTAATTAGTTTAGTCTGGGTAGAGTTATTTGGTTCAGTTGAGGATTGTTTAGATTAAACTGACCTATTAATTGAACAACTTTCACTGCTCATTAACACTTTCTGCAGGTGGTAATTAACTTTTTATCACATTTTAAAAGTGCTGTACTTTCTTGTGCTGATAGGAAGGCATGTGGGCACCACAAAAAATCATACATCTATTTAATGGAGATTTTATAGATGCAAAGTAGACCAATGCATTAAATAGGTCAATAAAATGGGACAAATTTCATATATTTCTACCAGAATATAATTTTAGAGAGATACAAGACAAGACTTGATTGCTGCAACTGCAGGGTACATAGGCATCTTTATCTCGTTTCCAAACCTTGTAAAATCAAAGCCGGTAACTGTTCTGAGAAAGAGGTAACACCTTTAAGTCAAAGCACCTGATGTAACCATGACAACATATGTTTTGTTATGTGGTGCCTAGAACAATGAGCCAGTCTAGTGTGGTACTTTAACATTTCAAGTTCAGAACAACCTAAACTTTAGAACAATATTTCTCAATATAGATGCACTTAAGGTTAGAATATAAGTGAAAATAGCAACATTCCCAAATACATAAAGGGCAAAGGTCTCCTTCAGGATACAATGGGATAACCTTTGAGACAGCTGCTGAATTCTACATTACAGCAATCATTTGTACCATCCCCCATATTCTATGTTAATTAGAAAGAGTTGTCCAGTGAAACCTGTGAATAGTGAAACCGAATGCTGGGACTGAGAGGCCAAAAGTGTTTAGATCAGCAAGTGTTCATATTTCAAGGTTTGTTCATCATTGGAAGATTTAGGACCAAGAAAAAAATGTTCACATTTAGCAGTGTTCGCGTTGACGCTGTTTTTTCTCGTTTTTACGGAAATTTCAAGAGGTCGGACGGGAAAATCAGAAATAACTTACGTCCCTGGGACGCAAAGATTCTACACCACCATCAGGTAACTTTTACTGCAGCGTAGAAGTGATAAAACATGATTTTCTGAAGAATTTTCAAATCGTCTACTTCCTTGATCTCAATAATGTTTATGTCGGCAAATCTGATTGGCTACCATAGTGTCTCAGTATATTCACGGGGTTTCTAGTCTGAAACACAGCATTTGATTGGCTATGGTGCCCTCCGAGTCATTCCGGAGTATACCGAAGCTGGATAATCTGTTGTACGCAAACATTAGTTTCAAAATTGAGAATTGAGACTTGTTTTTCACGATAATCTTAGTTAAGCTTACTTCCACTAGGAACCGTTAGATATCGATCTAATGTTATACATCAATATAATTATTTAATGATAGATCAACGTTTTTCATCTAAAAGTCGTCAGAGTAAGGAGAAATGTTAAAAAAGAAACAAAAAGTTCACGACCTTGAAGATCGGTGGTTGGTAAAATGTGAAAACAACTCTTAATTTGAGTATTTCTTTCATTCATTTCAGAGAATTTTGGTATAACATAAGTAAAGAATTGTGTGAAAAGGAAAAAATGATAGATATTTATCGGGAGAATGCATAGAATTACAATTTATGTCATTTTATCCCGTTTTAGCGTAAGCACTCTATTATCGCCAACTTCACTTTCACTTTAATAACAAAATATGAGGGACGCAAAAAAAATTAGACGGGACTCACATTTTTCAAATGTGTTGCGTCCCTGGGACTCAGAAATTTAAATGGCTAGCGCGAACACTGCATTTAGTGTTTGGTAGATTAGAGAGGTGTTCGGATAAACAGTATGAGGATTTAATTTATTTGGATGGAGTCTATTTCCTTGCACGGAAAGAAATATTATACAGTCTTTCAGTCTGGTAGCTTCAGTTTGTCCTTATGTCCCCAGAGCTAAATCAGAGAATCCTTTCAGTTTTATGTCTATTTTGGATTGATTTATTACCCCGTCACTGGGGATTCTTTCTTACATTGCATAATTCAACACATTTGTATATACATGTACCTCCAAATGGAGTTTTATTTCATGGCTCGCAAAAAATCTCCTTTTGCTTTCTCCCGAGGTGACTCTTAATTCTGATATCAGTGTTTTACTTTGAATTGTTTTTTTCACTAGAATAAATGATAACGTATCTGATCTGCAATTTCTTGATCCTATCTTTATTCTAGTCAGTTCACCGTAAACAGGGAATTGAAGGCTATATTTCACAATGAATCAACTGGCACATATGACTAAAGCTGTGTAGAATAAGAAATGACGATTTTGGCCGATTTTTCTTCATCATTGTTACTGAAGCTCTTGATCTAAGAATAACAATTTGTGGTCATGGAAGATTAACAGGTATATATACAGAATATTTGACTCAGGCATAAAGCTGTCATAAGGCAAAGTGTTAATATGAAGCTAGACGTATAAGCCCTTGATCTCCCTCCCCCTAGTAGAGGTACACAGGTTTGATGTAAGACAATTGTAGGCTGCGGGATAGAAACGGATCATATGACAGATTTCATCTTTCATATTATCAAATATACAGGTTTTTTGATTCTGTATTTTACTATTATATCAAAGAAACTATTTAAAACCATACCAGTCTTTAGCTTCATTATAGGTTGATACTTTTGACATCTTTTTATGAGATGCTCACAATGCTGCACAATGGTTGTAGATTGGGGTTAAATCATTGTAACAAATGGCAGGTAGTGACATTTTGCATGTTAATGCCTTGTTATGTTATTGAAGGGCAGATGGCCATCAACCATCACCAGTTTCCTCAAAATGGAGGAAGTGGCATCAGGACATGGATAATTACTCACTGATATGGCTAGCAGCAACCTTTGTCATTTATTCTGGAGGTTTAAATCACCATAGTGGGAACATAAAACAAGGAGAAAATGATTTAGTTTTACTATCATGAAACAGAAGCCTATACTATACTAAACTTCAAGTCATCATTTTTGAATGACGTAATCATGGTTTTTACAAGCATGGTTAATAAATGAATTACATTCCTTCAAGAGTGTGATGATTTTTATACTTGGAAAAGCAATCAAATTATTAGTATTGATATTTCTACAACTGAATGCTAAATATTTCGTCTTGGGACCATAGTCGTCATATTAATCAGAATTATCAAAATCAAACATGCACATATTGTATAATTACATTAATATTTTACAAGACCACAGAAAATACAACATAGACCTGTTTCCCCGAGAATCAGAATATCAGATTAAAAAGATTGATCTTGTCTTTTGTTTGCAGAGATTACAGCTAACGCTTGGATAGATTTCAACGAGAACAGGACAAAAAGCTGGCCAGTATTAGATGTATTCTAACGACATAACGGCAGACAATCGTAGATGAAATCACATTACATGAGGTCAGCAGATTATAGCAGATCACACCGTTGAGGAAAAAGATGGGCATTTATAGGTAAGTACTTGTGTTATAACCCTGTTCTATTCTTACATCAAATGTGACCTTGGGTAGAAAGAATGTAAAGTTAAAATGTTAAAATGAAAAATATCAGATCATTTTAAAGATATTTTGTTGAAAGGCATGACCATGATAAGTATAGCTCATGTCAATCAGTAAATATTAATGTCCAAATTTACAATTGGAAAAAAGCATTAGATTTCTGCATTTGATTTGGTTACATTTGAATGATCCTTTTTCAAGTAAGCACTCTGAAAAAATACATTTTTATAAGCTATCAAAAATCATATCATTTATTTAACTCAATTTGCAGGCCATGTTAAAGATGCCTTCTGCGTTCATATCGGAAAACAAACCAATTTGTAATATTTAGTTTTGAATTCTCTTGTGCATTTGGATCATTGTCGCATCAGAAATCGATAAGACGCTATCATATTCCATCAATACCTCTCAAATAGATTGAGATCCGCTATTGGCTTTTTGAATTACCAGAGGGCGAAGTGGAAAATAGCAACCAATCAGATTTTGAGTTATCAGTTTGACTTTATTTAACCCAAAATATCGAAGGCATAAGCAAAATGAATAGAACTGTAGTTTACAAAAATATGGTGTAACACTGCCCCTATCAAATAAACAAACAAACAACAAATAAATAAAAAACAAATTTTCTTGTTTTTCAACATGCAACAACAATTATTTGTTTTACCATTGGCACTTTAGAAAGCTCATGATTTTACATTCAATAAATTATATTTTCAATGTTGGGTGAATAAGATAAAAGCTGATGCAAGGTATAAATGTGACAATTACATCAATCAACCTTATTTTTATTACAGAAACTGGCTGTAGTTAGTACATTCATATATTTCACATGTCAGAAACATAGACTATACTACACTTGAAAATATCCATCAACCGCACTACAATTGCTGTCCTTCAAAGTCAGTTTCAAGGGAAATTTTATTTCAATATATCTGGAATATGTTTTTTTTTTAATTTACTGTTGACATGTTTATTTTTGCTTAAATCAAGTAGAAAGGATAGAAACAGGTTGAGACCTAGTTTCAAAAAACTTGGTCATAATTTTATAATATTTTTGCTCTCGTGCCAATTTCATAAAATCTGTGCCCCTTCTATTGTACTTTACATGTTACCATTGCTATCAACAGATACAATAGTAAAATTAATATGAAATTTAATGCATATGAAATCAAAATTTGAGAAAGTTGCACATATGAATATTATACGTTATATGATTTTTTTCTCTGCCTAAAATCTAGTGTAGCTGTGACCCCCTTCCACTACTTGACTACACACCTTCTCATACTTGTGAGCAGATGTGCAGTAGTGTAGTGGGGGGGGGGCTCACCAGGGTTGTAGCTAGACTGCCTTAAATCACTCCTAATGTTGAAGCTTATGGGGACATAAATGTTTGGCATTTGGCATTTTACGAAGCAATAACTCACAAGTTGGCTTATCTATGATGACTAGTTTTATGCTATATTGGAGTTAATAATATTTTGTGATGTAAGATAAAAAATGGATTTATTAGGTTGAAAGCGATGTGACTCATTCCAAAAATAATCTATAGAACTGTGGACTCTGCTCTGCAAATTATATTTCCATGAATGTTTCGCTAATTAAGTAATACATAAAAAGCAAGTTGTGTTTCGAATTTGCAGCATTCATTAGGTTGGTAGAATAAACGAGTTAAATTTTCAGAAAAATAAGATCAGTGAAAGGGGAGGGTCATCACCATATGTAATTTCAGGCCACTAGCATTTTTGCTATAAACCTGCCCAGCCTTTACTAAAACTAACTTATCTGTTTCAAATAAACCTTGGTCTAGAACATTTATGAGGCATGCAAGTCGGGTGTGTTTTATCAGTGAAAACAAATTGTTCGTTTAGTCTCATAGGATCAACATTAAACCAATTAGGCTGTAAATGTAATCATAGCTGTCCAGAAATAGAGGAAACCATGCTGCTTTGTGTTTTTAGAACTGATTTGATTATTTTAGGTTTGTGTTTGTTGCTGTTGAGGTGAGACAAAATAATGGGCTCTTAAAAGTTGACCAAAAATGGGCCTCTTAATAATGGCCTTGTTTCTTGTGGTTCTGGCTGGTCATACCTTTAGTCATGGACCTGAAGATTGAGAGATGGGCTCTCCATTTGGTGGTTTTTTAATCTGGCAACTGTGAAACATGTTTGCTTGCTTTTGAGATATAAATTGATTGCCAAACAACATGGGCACATCTAGGATGACATAGAATTTGTGAAAAGAGAAAATGTTTCAGGAACATGGACCTAACTTTTAAAAGTAAGCCAGAATAATTTGAACTTATTTATCATCATTAAGGTTAGGGCCTTCCCTTATTGGATTTTATACATAGATATGTCTGAAAAATGAGAACATTATTTAGATTAATCTTTATCCTCTGAAAGGTCAGTTAAGGACTATGTCCAAAGCAATGTATTAATTAGCCTATCTTCAGATAATCTCAGAATAAAGCATTCTATGGATTCTCCTCCTGCTACATTCTGAGATATCCCTTGTTGATTCTGTGGTGATGCTGCCACTGACATGTTACCCTTAGGTTTAGAGTCTAGAAATAATAACTACCCTCTGACTATGATTTTACAGAATTTAACTGTTTAATACTGATAAGGATAGCCATTATGGCCTTTAATTGCAGTTTTAATATGAAATAAATGTCAGGAACTTATGAAAGCATATTGTTATGATTGAAATTCTGAATTTAGTATGGAGATGAAACTCTCTTTTAAAGAGGCAAAATCAGACTATTGTGAAGGGTATCACTGACAAACTGGTATCAACATTTCCATCTTTCACTGAGCTTAGAGAGGGTCTGATAGATCAGAATGCCACTGACATGTTGGAATTCACACAGTGCACAACACATGTTGTTAGATAGACATCATATACTGTACTTTCCTAACACATGTAGGATTTTATGTTTATTTGCGCCTTATTGTTGGTAAGTGAAATCTTTTATAGTGGGACCACATTTGCATTTCTTTGGATGGAAATACATCAAGATGTCTCATAACTGTCTGACATATATTATTTGTATTGATGTATTCACATGGTATTTTCATTATTTCCAGTAATAAGCCGAGAGAGAGATGAGAGATTAGACTGTAAAAACTCAAATTCAATGTGTTAACTCATAGGGGATATAGAATTACCATTGATTTGAAATAGATTTTGATAAATTGATTATAATATGTATTTTGTAAAGAACTATAATATCTTTTGAATATTCTAATCGGATGCAGTATTAAAATTTCTCATTTCTTAGTAAAACAATAGAAGAATAGATTGATAGGTGTTGAGAAATGGTGGGTTTGTAGATGAATTGCGGATTTGTAGATGAATGATAGGTTTGTGGATGAATGTTGGGTTTTGCTGATAACATTTTAATTTTACTCATTGATGACAAATACCAAGAAGTTATTATGACCTGGACAATTGTCATGTTGAAATGCATTTCTTAATAACATAAATGATTGATTTGACATTAATGTAGTTTGTTAATCAATAAATGTTTTCACCATCAAAATGAATATTAGTTAAAATTGGGTAATTCAAATGCATTGACTCACTTAATCAGAAAAGTTAAATAAACTAAAGTTAAATAATAATCTAAACTCATCCGTTCACTTTGATTTTCAATCATACTGATATTACTGGACCTTTATTTATAAAAAAAAAACAGAAGTATAAATATTAAGGATTCATTCTCATTTGGTCTATTTGTACCCTCTTCCCTCAGTCTATACTAATCCAGTCCCACTTTCTCTTTCCCACTCCCTGGTTAGATACATTCTAAACTATGATTACCCTTAATTCACAATCAGTAAGACCACCCTCTGACTAATACATGATTTGCAATTTTAGTACTGATAAGATCTTTTATGTCACTACTTCTTTTGTTGATGGTGTGTGGCAGTTGTTGTTTGGCATTTGGCAGTCAGCATTTGGGGTCTGTAACAAGTTGCATGGTAATGTCTTGTTGGTAATTTAAATTTGAATGCAGAAATGTTTGTTATATTTTGACTACATAGTCAATATTATATAGGTTTGATATTTGATGTGCAGACAAAGACAAGTTCTTCCTAAGGGTAGACCATACTTGTTTCCCTGTTTGATTTTCAATCAATATGAACACATCATACCTTGGAAATCCAAGATGAGGGTAGACTATAATTTGATTGATTAAGTTACTGTTCAACATTCAAATCTAAACCCAAGACCAGACTTGAAAGTTGTTCTTATATTATTTTTGTTATTCAATCAACTAGAAAGTCAGGATGTCTAAATGTTACTTCATGTTATATGTTACTCAAGTTTTCCCTTTCATTTTTTACCTGTAACATTTTGTTTGAAACATTTGTCTAAATAAATCTGCTACATTGCTGAATATTAGAATGATTTGTTTATGCTCTCACTTAATCATTTAGCATAGGTGTATCAGAATACAAATAGATTATTTACAAATGCCTCCTTTGATTTGAAGAAATCTATGAAAATGAAACAGACAAGATTTGTTTTCATTGATCTATTTCAAATTTTTAATTTAATTCTATATCGTTTAATTTTGAGCCATCTCACATTTCCCTTATTCACTGTGGAATACATCCCTGTTATATATTTTTATTGCTCAATAAAAGGGAAGCATGTCATTGCTCATTTTGAAGGTCTCATGTTATTACATAGAGTTGCATACCCTTCTAGTTGAAAGCCCATGGTTCAACATATTCGAGAAGTCAATAGCTATAATAAATTCGCAGATTTTGCTCGCATTTATGTAAGCTTTTCTCTTTTGACGGATACTTTGTGTCTTTCCTTGAAATCATGACAGGTGTAACTGATCTACTGAAATCAACTTCAAGTGCTTACTACTATCTCCCAATGTGAGCTACATCAGTGCTTTTTGTTGAGAAAATATGTAAGTTATTAGCCGCTTCTTTGCC